TTTTGTTCTGGTGGCCTGGAATGAAGAAGGTGTGCAGATTGTGTTTCGAGAATGCGAGCCTGTTCAGATTGGTGAAGGCAGGCAAATCAGCGACCAGTGGAACTGTTGCAGTCGTTGCCTATGCCCTGAGTGGAAGTGGGGAAGATTAAATGGACTTTGGAGCTGGGTTTTCTCGATCTAGACAAGGGCACGACGCCATTTGGGTTGGTTTTAAGATCGACTGACGAAGTCCGTTCCAATTTTCTTCCGATCAGACAGACCGATCCGTGGATCGCTTGTCACAGATATATGTGAGAGAAATAGTCAATTGCATGTGTCTGCTCGAGTGATAAGTTTCCTGAATCGAACGACGTTTCTTCAGACTTTGGAAGGGCACAGCAAGCTTGGGAACGAAACTGCATTTCAAGAGTACAGCTACATCCTCAGACGACGAACATCGAAAGGACTTATTCAGGGTGCGGAAGAATCTTGTTGAGGCTTTGTGTTTTGGACTTTGGCGGATAGCGGAAAATCAATACCCTTGATTGTAGTTTGCATATAACAACAGTTTTCAGTCAGTTCGGTATGCAACAGTACGAGGCCCTGTATGGCAGGAAGTGCCGTACTCACTTTGACTCTGACTGAGGTCGGAGAATAACAGGAACGGTGCCACTTTCTTGAAGAAACTTTAAGAAGAATCCAGCTTGATTAAAGAAGATGAAGCGCTCACGGTCGACAGCAGAAATATTACAATCAGTTATTGTCAGGTTTGTTGAGTTTCAAGTTGGTGACTTTTGGTGTATCAAAGCAGCCCGATGAAAGGGTGTGAGCAATGGCCAGGTGAGGCAGACTAATCAAGGTAGTTGGACCTTTTCTGATAAATCTCGAAAGGATTAAAAACTGCTTACGACGTTGCTTCTGATTGATGCCTGATCTGTGCATAACGTGGTTTCACGTATCACTTGGAGGAAGTGGGTATCTGACTCGGGAAGAAGCGTCACTAGACGGGTTGAATCCTGTGATTTTTTCAGGAAAATGTGTAAATTCCGTATACAGCCGTTGTGCTGCCCGATTTTTGTCTGATTTCTGAATTCGTCCGGATTTCTTCTGAATTGATATGCTATCTATATATGCTATATAAAGGGAGTTATAAGGGGCCTGGATCCTAAAGATTTAGTTAGTGTCTGGAAATCTGAAATGAGCTCAATCTGAAATCTGATTACGTTCTTTCCGGATCCGATGAATTCTGTTCTGGTGTATAAGCACATATGTTCTGGTGCGTGAGCATAAAGGGAGGCATAAGGGGCCAGAATCCGTAGAGATTCTTGTCAGTGTTAGGAATTTAGCTATTAATTACAATACTATCTGATATCTGATTTGATATGACTTCTGTTCCGTACAGTTCTGTCTGATCTGTTCCGTTTAGATCTGTTCTGATTTGATATCTGTTTTGATTTGATAGATTTGATATATGTCCTGTATCTGTTCTGATTTGATCTGTTTCGTTTTGATCTGCATAATTTTGATATCTGTCTGATTCTGTTCTGGTTTAGTACGGATTTGGTTTGAAGTGGTTGTTTGGATTCTGGAAGTTTTGATTGGAGTTTTGTCGCTTTGCTGAGCTGTTGAGCTCACCCTTGTTTTCTGTTGGTTTCAGGTTCTGGCAAAGGGAAGGAAGTCTGGATTAGAGTTCTGAGTCTGATCAGTTATAGGTATTTATATTACTTTTTGATTTTTTGTACAGTCAGGCTTTTCTTCTTTGTTCTTTTCTGTCAGTCATGTACTGTATTTGTAGATGATTGTTTTGAGGAAGAGAAAAATATAGATGATTTATTCCGCTGTATTTGATGTTTCATAGTAGCTCTGTGCATCAGTTTTGAGTTGAAATATTGGAAGAATCAGTTCCGAAGCAAATTCCAAAGCCAGATCCTGGTCTGTTTTGTTGCTGGTCGCGGCCCGGTGGGCGGGATCTGTCCCCGGTCGGGTCGGGTCGGGTCGTGACACTATAGTTTGAACTGAACATCTCAAAAAATAAAAATCCAACGACACTAAAAGACGACTCAATCCGAGCTCCAATGGATCCAAATCGAGATACGAAGCATATTCAAAAATGTTCAAACCATAAATTGGAGACCAAATAATCCCAAAATGTAACATGTTTATAGTCAAATCGAGCGAGTCAACGAGCCTAAGATTATCAAATTATGACATCATTTAAGACACTTAAATTCTAGATAAATGATCTGATATAAAGGGAGTTGATATCGGCCGTCCAATTGTAAACGCTCCTAATTTTCCCTTGATCTTCTCATTCTTACTAGCAATTCCATTCCAAAAAAACTATAATACCCCTCATTTTCACATGAAGGGGGCCAAACAAGAAGGAAGAGAAATTGAGATCTCTTGCCCCAAGTTACTCCTTGACCACTGCCCAGTCACCAATAATCACTGGCCGACATACAGTCCTTTCGATCATAATAACCGTCCAGCTATAGTCCTTCAACAACCACCGTTGCCCAATGAATACGGTCCTTCCAAACCACTATCCCGACTACGATTTTCTAACCTCTGTTGCTCGTGAACTACATCCTCACTCAACCACCATTTCCAGAACTACAATCTCGCCTAATCGCCGTCACCTAACTACTTTTCTTCCGACCACTTTCACCTAATTACGGTTTTTTAATCACAGTCAGTCGACTACGTCCTTTTTAGACCACTGCACTCAACTGTGATTCTTCCGACCTCCTTCGCGCGCTGACTACGGTCTCTTAGACCAACATCTCTAGACTACGGTCTCCCTGACCACCGTCGCTCGACTACGTTCTCTCCGATCACGATCGCCCAACTGCGGTTCTTCCTGACCATGTTGTTGACTACGTCTTTTTGACCTCCGTCGTATGCCAACTTGGTCTCTCCGACCATTGTCACTTAACTGTCACGACCATGTATTGATCAGTTATAGGTATTTTGTACTTTTTGATTTTTGTACAGTCATGGCTTTTCTTCTTTGTTCTTTCTGTCAGTCATGTACTGTATTTGTAGATGATTATTTTGAGGAAAAGAAAAATATAGATGATTTATTCCGCTGTATTTGATGTTTCATAGTAGCTCTGTGCATCAGTTTTGAGTTGAAATATTTGGAAGAATCAGTTCCGAAGCAAATTCCAAAGCCAGATCCTGGTCTGTTTGTTTGGCTGGTCGCGGCCCGGTGAGGGCGGGATCCGTCCCGGTTGGGTCGGGTCGGGTCGTGACACTTATAGTTGAACTGAACATCTCAAAAAATAAAAATCCAACGACACTAAAGACGACTCAATCCGAGCTCCAATGGATCCAAATCGAGGATACGAAGCATATTCAAAATGTTCAAACCATAAATTGGAGACCAAATAATCACCAAATGTAACATGTTTATAGTCAAATCGAGCGAGTCAACGAGCCTAAGATTATCAAATTATGACATCATTAAGACACTTAAATTCTAGATAAATGATCTGATATCAAGGGAGTTGATATCGGCCGTCCATTGTAAACGCTCCTAATTTTGCCCTTGATCTTCTCATTCTTTACTAGCAATTCCATTCCAAAAAACTATTAATAGCCCCTCATTCTTCACATGAAGGGGGGCCAAACAAGGAAGGAAGAGAAATCTGAGATCTCTCTTGCCACCAAGTTACTCCTTGACCACTGCCCAGTCACCAATAATCACTGGCCGACTACAGTCCTTTCGATCATAATAACCGTCCAGCTATAGTCCTTCCAACCACCGTTGCCCAATGAATACGGTCCTTCCAACCACTATCACCGACTACGATCTTTTCTAACCTCTGTTGCTCGTGAACTACATCCTCATCAACCACCATTTCCAGACTACAATCTCGCCTAATCGCCGTCACCTAACTACTTTTCTTCCGACCACTTTCACCTAATTACGGTTTTTTTAATCACAGTCAGTCGACTACGGTCCTTTAGACCACTGTCACTCAACTGTGATTCTTCCGACCTCCTTCGCGCGCTGACTACGGTCTCTTAGACCAACATCTCTAGACTACGGTCTCCCTGACCACCGTCGCTCGACTACGTTCTCTCCGATCACGATCGCCCAACTGCGGTTCTTCTGACCACTGTTGTTGACTACGGTCTTTTCGACCTCCGTCGTATGCCAACTTTGGTCCTTTCGACCATTGTCACTTAACTGGTCTTTCCGACCTACATGGCTCGCTGACTATGATCCTGTTGAGAAAATAATATTGTCAACACTTTTTGTTTCAACTCTTATCATGTAATGCACTCTATATGATATATATTTACTACATCGAGCCATGATTTTTCCCTCAAGGAAGGGTCTTATTTATAAACAACTGTAAAAACTAGTGAATTCATTTAAACTAGGCAAGACTTGCCTAGTGGTTTTCCCCTTTAAGGAGTTTCTACATAAAAATTCTAGTGTCCCTTATGAATGTTACGCCTGCATCTTTCATCTGTTTGTGTGATGGATTTTCATACATAGCTAGAATAGTAAAATTTCTATTTCTCTACCTCCACAAATATTCCAATATGCAACAATTAATAACTGATTTAGGTGTTATTTTAATTAGTATTTAATAACTGATTTAGGGATTTATTGAGTTTGGGATGGAGTTTTTTGGCTGAGCCGGCCTGCTCTCTGTTCCGTGCCTTCTTTTGTGGTTGTTCCATTGTTGCTGGGAGTAGTATTTAATACTAATTATAATGATAACTATTTAATTAATTATGTAATCATAATTCAAAATAATTAATAATTTAATTACTATTTTACATAAATTTTAATATTTCATTTTAATAATTTTAAATTACTAATTATACTTATAATTAAGTAATTAATTATTCTATTAATAATCAATTATTTAATTAATATTTATACTACTAATAACCTAATTAAGTATGTATATTTTAAATTATAATAACCAAGCTAATTGAATTAATGCCTAATTCCTAATTAAGAAATAAAAAAATTAATCTGATCCTCATAGGCGGGTTGTGCTCTTCGGTTCTTTCGTTGCATTCGTGTGAGGTTGAGCTTCCAATTCGGCTTCGCAGGTTAGCGTGGGGTAGAGCTTCGAACGAGTCGCTCGCTTGCCATTGCCTGTCTAGGGTTTGCTTTTCCTCTTCTGCATTTATTCGTAGCTGTTCTGCTTCGCGTTTCTGAAAGTGTCGAAGCTTCTCCACCTCCTCCTCCGACGTTGTTCCTGTCGGATCGGAAGTCGCGCCGGGAGCTCGCCGCAAAGGTAATGATATTTTCCCCCTTTTGCGCGCTTCTTCGGTCGGATTTACGAAATCTGGAAAAAATCGGATATACGAAATCCGGGATTTAGGGCAAAAATGGCGAAAACGCTGTGAAGTAGAGATTAGCCTTATCCCGATATCTAACTTTGTAGTTTTTTTGCGTTTGATAGGATTTAGCTCAAGTCTTGCCTAAATATGGCCTAAATACTGCGTCCATAGAAATCCCGATTGTAAACCCAATAACTACTGGCAAGGTTACTCGTATCTGCTGAGAAATTTTAGCTGTAATTGTTCTGCTAACTTTCTTAAAATAGTCCATATACAAAAGAAGAAACGTCTTCATGGGCCCGTGAGAGGTTAGATCTTAATGTCCCCATGATATTTTTGGAATTTCTAATGCAGTATTATTGGTGGAAGATGGTTTATTCTTAGCGTTCCTCACAAACTTAATGCATAAACTTATTGAGTCACTTGACCTTGGTGGTTGCCCCTTAGTAACATGTTCGCTTCTGCTATTTATTTCTAATCTGTGCTAGGGAAAAAAAAAAGAGGAATTATAATCATTTTGAAATTGCAATGTCCGGCCCTTCATGTGCCACTACCACATTCACCATTTAGTTTCGGTGTTTTGTTGATTTATAACTGGAATCTTGTAATGGTGGCATCTAAGAAAAGGGAAAAACAGGTGGATTTAGGTGGATATTATCTATTACTTCAAAAAATTTTTATGCCTGTCTTTCAAATTATGTATTCTTAGGTTTATCTATCCTTTTTGTTGCTTCAATGAAAATTTGTGATGATAAATCCTTATCTTGATTCAATGTTAATTAATATTTTTTTTTTCCTGACTTTTTTCAGTTTTAAAATAGGCTGACATATATTAAAGAGTTATTATGGCGGTTCATAGTTGCATTAAACAAATGTTTTTAGACAATGGAGAAGATGATGACGGGCCTACAATTTTTAAGAGAACTAATCCATCAGCTAAACAAAACCAGTTAAATTCCACGTCTAGGAAGTTATCATCTCAAAACAACGATGGGTCTGTCGCAAAACATACATCTAGCAGTCTGCAGTCTTCCAAAGATGCGAGTTTAGTGTTGAAGAAGGATAAAGCTGCATCATCTTCCAAAATTGCAGCTGAAAAGCCCAAGGCTGTAAGCTCTAATGCTCCTGCTTTTGTTCATGATAATGCAAAAGGCTCATCGGGTCAGAAATTGGCTTCTAGATGCCAGATGAAAGCATCCCATTCTGGCAAGTCTTTTGTGGCTGAGAACTCTGATGACTCTGATGATAAAAAGCCTTTAAGCATTAGACTTAATCCATCTTCAAAGGGAAATAATTCCACGGTTTTCCAAAAGGTACCTAAGCAGTCAATGGCCAGTGGTATAACAAATAGATCTTCCATCCAGATTGCATCAGATAGGCTAAATGGGAAAACTAGAAGTTCTGATGATTCTGATGATGATGATAATGTTCCCTTGAGTACTAAATTTAATTCAGCTTCTTTAGCACCTCAGAGAAGTAATTCTTTACTGGTTACAAAGGCAAGCATCAAGGAATCTTCCACCGATTCAGAAGATGAAAAACCTTTGCTTTCTAGACTTCAAGCAAAGAGCGGTGATGCTAAATCTATAAATTCTAAAATTGTGGCAAATGGATATGTTAAGAACATGTCAATTGATGGCTTGAAGCACTCAAAAGGCTCAAGTAAAAGGCCCATTGGTGACAGTAATAATTCGACTGAGACTTCTTTTAAGAAAGCTAAAGTTCTTGGAAGCCCAGCTTCCATTAAAGTTAAACAGGAAGTAGAAGTGAAGAAAGAGCAAAAGATGGATGATGACCATATACCAATTTCCCATAGAATCAAAAAGACAGTTTCTTCGGGAAGTCAAGTATCTGTGAAGAAAGAAGTTAAAAAAACCGTGTCATTCAAGAAAGATGGTAAGAAGATGAAAACACTGAAGGACTCAAAATATTCCAAGTCTTCGAAAGTGCCACCTGGATCTGGTGGAGGAGTGAAGTGGACTACCTTGGTGCATAATGGTGTTATTTTCCCTCCACTATACAATCCTCATGGGATTAAAATGCTCTACAATGGTCAGCCAGTTGATTTGACTCCTGAGCAAGAGGAGGTGATGTAATGGAAAGATTGCAACATCTTAATTTATGAAGCACCATTCATGATAGTTGTAGTTATTTGCTTTGAGATTTTCAAAAAAAATTATTTCTTTTGTTCATATTTTTCTATTTGTGTTTCAGGTTGCAACAATGTTTGCTGTCATGAAGGACACCGATTATGCCAGAAAGCCTAAATTCATTGAGAACTTCATGAATGATTGGAGGCAAATACTCGGTAAAAATCATGTCATTAAGAAATTTGACCTTTGTGATTTCACTCCAATTTATGAGTGGCATCTAAGGGAGAAGGAAAAAAAAAAGCAGATGAGTTCAGAGGTAAGATCTACTGCAGATAGCCTCGGAATCTTCATTGTTTTTTGGTGAACTGTGTTTCTTTTGGAACATTTTGCAGTCATTAATAGAATTTATCTTAAGAACCAGCCATTATGCTCTGGTCCAGAATTGAATATTATGAGCTCATGTTTGAGCTTTTTTATGTCATTGTAAGCATTTGAGAGTAGATAATTTTAGTATACGGTATATCTTTTGGCGAAGGAACAGAAAACAGATACTGAACAGGGTTTGGCTATAATATACTTCATTGCTGATACTACTTTCTGAAGCTCAATTAGAGTAGAATTTACATTTATTATGTTTTTTACTTTACAGAAACCACTATTTACGTTGTATCCAATTGCGATTGAATTGAGGCCTACTTTTGCATATCAGAAATTTATTTATTTTTTCTTGAGGAGCTTTTATACTTATTTTTGCACAATTGTTTCACTATACTAAATTTTATATAGCTGTTGATGATAAGTTAGTTTGATGGCAATTTGGAATTATTGTTTCCTCGAATCAAAATACTAAAGCACATCAATTAAGAAACGAACAGTAACAATTCTTCATGTTGTTTTTAATGCTGCTTTTAGAAGTAATTACTGAAAATTTTGATGTATCCTCTGCTGAATGAGATGTTGATCGCTGAGCTGAAGATGCAGTGAATGCTTCTTTTTTATCAATTATGTTTCTCGGAATGCAGTGCCAGTGTGCCACTTTATTTATTTATTTAAAATTCTTGTCCAGATATTGTACAATTTTCCTTTTCTTTTTTTAATTTTTTCAAGCAGATATGAATTTCTCTTGCTAGGATATGGCTAACAGAAAATTATCTTTTAAAACTTGTATAGGAGAAGAAGCTTCAAAAAGAAGAAAAGATGAAGCAAGAAGAGAAATATATGTGGGCTATCGTTGATGGAGTAAAGGAGAAGGTATAGCTTATGTTTCTTTTTTGAAATAATGTACCTTTCTCATTACCTGAATAAATGTTTGTGGATCAGTTTAAGCAAAGAGTAATACTATGAGGCTAGTTTTGTGTGAACAGGAGGAGCTATTTGAACATAATCTGCCTTTGGTCCTTAAATTTCTTTTATTTAGCCAAACGTATTTGTCTGATGCTTGAATTATGAATTTCTTGTTTCCTTATCATTATCATACCAATTTCTTGCAGGATGGTATCTAGTAAATCAAGTTATTTATGATTCTCTTGACTTTGGAACATGCAAGTGTGGCTTCCTGCATGAGATCATGCCACAAGGAACACAAATTATATGCCCATGAATAGATTAATCAATTTAGTACATGAACAACAGCTTGTTATTTGCCACTAGATCATAACTTTAGTTATCTTGGTGTAGGATGATGTGAACTTGTGGTTCTTACTCAGCGTGGAGCCTATTTTTGCTATACTTTGTCTAAGCCATGTTAGGCTTTGTGACGATGTTTTAAGTTTTTAATTGATCTTATTGTTTCTGTTTATGTAGCTAAGAGGATAAAATCGTAGACATTTGTCAGAAAATGATATAAAAAAATACCCATCATCATCATATGGTCTTTGTGCTTAATGAATGTTCTATATGATCATCAATCATCATCTATGTAAATCTTTTAGACATTACTGTCACTTTCTTCTTCCAGGTTGGAAATTTCAGGGTTGAACCACCAGGACTATTTCGTGGCCGTGGAGAACACCCAAAGGTTTGTACTCTTTGTTGCGATTGTTCGACCTTAAGTGATCTGTGACCAGTGAAATAATTAGTTTTTATTTCAGTTTATGATTTCTTTTTTTATTCATTTTATTGTTACCACTGCAACAGATGGGAAAACTGAAAAGACGCATTCGACCTAGAGATATTACAATTAACATTGGCAAAGGTGCTCCAATTCCAGAGTGTCCTATACCTGGTGAAAGGTAGCAATCACAATCTTGTAAAAGTAATATATTTATGAAATGAATTATTAATGCTCATAAATTTTGTTCAGGTGGAAAGAGGTAAAGCATGATAATACTGTCACGTGGCTAGCTTATTGGAGTGATCCAATCAATTCAAAAGAGTGCAAGTATGTTTTTCTGGCAGCGAGCAGCTCTTTAAAGGGTCAAAGTGACAAAGAGAAGTATGAGAAGGCGAGAATGTTGAAGGTAACATATTCTAACATAAATGCATCGAGTTGTAATATTTGATGAATAGAGGCCATTAAAGCTTTTGTCATTCTGGTTATCTTTATATTTTCCTTTCTAGCAATGCCAAGTTGACATTGATCTCTTTGTGCAGAAATACATACGAAATATTCGTGCAAATTATACCAAAGATTTTACAAGTAAAGATGCTACAAAGCGGCAGATTGCTGTAGCCACTTATCTTATTGATAAGTTAGCATTAAGGGCGGGCAATGAGAAGGTATGTTTGCATCCTATATAATTTTTCAACGTTTTCTGCTCAAGTTTTGCTTACTTCATTGGCCACTCATTTTTATTCTTATCTTGTTCTTTTAGCTTACCCTATATTTATATTGCTTAGTTTCTGATTATTTACTTGTGTCCTGCATAGTGCTTTTATGAGCTTTGGTGAGGTTTTAAATATGCTCAGATTCCGAGAGGCATGGAAGATATGCTATTCTACTCTCAATGATGAGTCACTTGCTACTTAATGGTCATTGACTAGCGACTTGCATGAATTGTACTTTATGAGTTTTTATCGTATCTAGTAGATGCAGGCTTTTCGAGCCTTTTTTGAGATTTTTGATATGTCAAACTTTAACATTTAAGCTCCTTAACATCACATAACCTGTGTTGAGGGATGATTTCCATTTTAGCAGTCTGTCTTTCTGCATGCTCATTTGGATCAATTCTGTGGCAGTTTATTTTTCCTTTTTCTGTTAACCCAGATGCGTCTGGCATGCTAGAGCTTGCTAGTGTAAGGGATGGCTTATCTTTTGGCATTCTAACTGATCACTCTTCCCGGCCCATCTTTACTTGACCATCTCGCCCTTCCATTAATAATTCAGTAGCAAAACTGGAATGATGATTGGGACGTCTTACTTATTGTTGTTGATTTGTTTTCTTAGTTTGATGCTTCTAGCATTACTATTTCTGAAGTTCAGTAAATCTGGTAACTCTGCTTGAGATGCTTACATGTAGATTTAAGTAGATAAAGGAGGTTGTAATGTTATTTGTCTAATGTCATTCTGTATATAGTGAAAGTACCGTAGTAATCTACTAAGTTTTTACAAACCTTTTGCCTAGTTTAAAACAACAAATTTCCATCATGTTCTTAAAATTTATTCTAATTAATAGAACATTCTTTATCCATGTCTCACTTGTGTTTATATGCTAGTTGTATGAAATGGATTTAATCAAGTGGTGCAATTTTGCTGGATGCCTTTGATATGCTTTCTGTTTGAATGAACCAAATGCTAAATTCATACACACACAACATTAAATTTGCTTGATTTTATTTTTTCTTCTGCTGTGCACAATTCAACGTCACATATCAAAAGCCATAATTTTTCTGCAAAGAATAATCCAAAATGATTCATAAGAAATGTGAAGGCTTAAATGCCCGCGTGCATTGATTGAATTAGCTTCCATATTTAGAGATTCATATACTATATTGCTGGAGGGAATTTTCCATCTTTATTTCAGTTTAGTTTATGATAGAAGAGACTGACACTGGAAGAGCACTAGTCATGTTCTTTTGGAATTTTCAATCTTTGGGCTTCTAGCTTTACCAAGCCATTCACAACATATTCCGTTAGATCTAATTGATGATGCAATTTACAAAATCTCAATCAATGAGAAGACTTCAAAGAATCTATAACATGATTTCTTTTCTTGAAGAAAGTAGAAAGTAGAAAAATAGGAGGATGTCACCATTTCTCAATTATTAATGACTTTGTTGTTTTGCATTTAGTTATGCATTGATTTTTATTGGGATGGCAACTCTGTTTTTGTAAAGAAAATTGGTTTTTTTTATTTTGATGCAAAACGAGACTTCTTAGTAGAACTTCTTTAATGCATTCCAGGATGATGATGAGGCTGATACTGTTGGTTGCTGCACTTTAAAAGTGGAGAATGTTAAACTACTCCCACCAAACAAGTTGCAGGTATGGAGGTTTTATTTGAAAGTTTGATTTTTTGTTGGATTTGGTTCTTATAGTATTATCTTGTTTATATTCAGTTTGACTTTCTTGGTAAAGATTCCATTAGATATTTTAATACCGTAGAAGTTGAGTTAGCTGTCTACAAAGCAATTGGAGAGTTCCAAACTGGTAAGCGCATCATAGGTTTTACTTTTGCTGTTTCTATTTGCTAACTACATCCCTGATCATTTATTTTTTTGACCTTTTTCTTTGCTTATTAGCCAAAAAGAATGATGGAAGGAAGAAAACTGATGGTGATGATCTTTTTGACTTGCTGGATACAAGTAAACTCAATGCTCACCTGAAGGAACTCATGCCTGGCCTTACTGCTAAAGTTTTCCGTACATATAATGCTTCCATCACATTAGATGACATGGTAATCTTACTGTGTAGCAGAAAAGTTATCCCCATTAAAAAAAGTGTATATGATCATCTCTGTTTCAGCTGTTGTGACCTTGTAAAGCTTTGATTTTATCTATATAATTATGATAAAAGACTGAACTTTGTGAATTTATAAGGAGTCTTTTTCAGTCCATGTCTTAAAACCTTTTTTTTTCATTTGTTTTTTTTAGATGATATGAATTAAAATAATTTATATAGATTCATAGATTCAAACATTCGTTTCTGATACATTGGATTACTCTGATACTCCACGTATATCTTGCTGGATGTCTTGTAACATATCCAACTTTTAAAAGTAGTTGGATGACATGTTCTATCTATCGAGCCTCAAATAGTTGCTCACTCGATTTTTTTTGTCTGATCATGTTCATTGTGTTTTTTACTAGTGTAGTTGAAGAGATTAAAGTAATTTATTTATTCATTTACATTGTGCCTCAATAGTTGAATAATGAAACCAAGGATGGAAACGTACTAGAAAAGATTGCAGTATATCAGATTGCCAATAAAGAGGTAACGGTTGATTCTTGCACTATGACATTGATTAATACTGTTTATATTTTTTTAAAATTTTGTTTCTGTTCTTTATTTATAGGTTGCAATAATATGTAATCATCAACGAACCGTTTCAAAGTCTCATGAAGCCCAGATGTCTAGATTGGATGAAAAGATAAATGAGTTGAAGGTTTTTCTTGCATGTCTCTGCATCTGTTTTTCTCTTTCCAGCTTTATCAGTTAATTTTCCTTTTGCTTCATGTAGGCCCAAAGGAAGGAGCTTGAGGTTGATTTGAGCAAAGCAAAAAAAGGGAAGCCTTTGGGGAAGGATGCAGAAGGAAAATTGAAGAAAAATGTGGCCCCTGAGCTGTATGGAATTAAACACACCATTCCTTAGATTTGTAGATCTTTCCCGCAGGTCACTTAATCGTGTCGACTTGCAGGTTGGAGAAGAGGATTATTCAGGTCGACGACAAAATAGAGAAAATGGAATTGAGTAAAAAGACGAAAGAGGATTTGAAGACCGTTGCTCTAGGCACTTCTAAGATCAATTACCTTGATCCTAGGATATCTGTTGCATGGTGTAAGCGTAATGAAGTTCCCATTGAAAAGGTATATTTCTTCGATCCAGGCCATCCCAAATTACATCTTCTAATGTGTTCATAAACAATACATTAGTAGCCTTTGAGGTCCTTCCTCATCCTTCTGCATCAGTTTTTTATGTTGTCAGTGTACCAGTACTGCCTTGTTATAGGATAGTGAATTTTATGAACAATAAAATAGGTTGCAATACAAGTGTACACTATTATGAACAATAAAGTAGTGTTTTGCCCGACTCTACTCTTGGCTAGTCTGCAAAGCATGGTGGCTGCAACCTCTTACCTCTCCAACTATTTGGATTTGATTTTATGAGTCCTTATTCTTCAGTTATATCTTTCTTCAACTCTTATTCATTTTTATCTGTTCCAACAACTTATTTTTTTAATTCTTTTACTTCAATTTTATCTATTTGGGTGTATTTTTTTATTTTTATTATATGCTTAAGTTTATTCTTCACCAGTATATTTTAAACACTGTCGTTGTCAGGTCTCAAGTTCTAGATGAGAAAAAATGGAGGGTTGCGTTAGGTAGTGGACTGCCAGCGTAAAACTTCTTGAATAATCATGATATGAATCCTTTAAAAATTGTGTTAATGCTAGGGCGTCCTCTGGAAGCGACACGCTGTATGACCTAGATACAACGATAAGTGTGCAGGAGCCGCCGCACCGGCCCCACGTAGTGGGACATAGGCTTGATGTTGTTGTATTTTTTTTAATACATTTTAAGATTCATCGTCCTTCTCATATAGTTATTTCTTTATCCATTCTTTCTAATTGCGCCTAATCTATTTCAAAATTCTCATTTCTTTCAAGCTCAATTTGATAGCGATGATTTGCCAAATATAGCATTTATTCATCTCCCACTTAAAAAAACTGGTAATATTTTTTATTTTGGCTGACCGACTCTCATTTTCTTTGCCTCAGATATTCAACAAGTCGCTTCTTGCAAAATTTGCTTGGGCAATGGATGTCGACCCAGAATTCAGATTTTAGTTACATGTACGCATATACTGTCCTTGTGGAAACCCCCCCAACTCTAACTGGTTCTCGCTTTACTCCCATCAGCACAGAATATCTGGAATGCTATGATTTCCATTGTATAATTCTTCTGGTCGGAAGCCCGTTAAGAAAGAGAGCAAATTCTTCAAGGTGTGATCATATTAAAGAGTAGAAGATGTTCATGCTGGTTGTTTCTTCTTCCTTTTTTTTTTTACTTGATGTGGGAATGGACTCTCATTTTAACAGAGATGGTACACTTGGGAGAAATATTTATTAAATAATTTGTGTTATTTTCTTTTATTTCTATGAAATGAGTATCTAATTCTCTATTTTGTATTTTGTCAGCTTTGTTATTGGTTCATTCTGAACTTTAAATGTATAGGAACTCCAGTAATTTTTTCGGCAGCTTTGCTTGAGTTGTAAATTGATCAGTGTGAACCACACCAAACTCATGTAAATTACCAAAACAAGGAACAATTATTAGGTCCGGTGACCGGACGTAGCTCTACGTTCGGTCACCGCTCAGATCGCGCCACGTGCTCTTAGTCTTTACCGTGCGGCCCAACGACTTGACCCGGACCGGAACCTGGGAATGCTATGTTCGCGTATTGCTAGGTATTACTCGGTATTTGCTTGATATTGCTAAGTATTGCTTGGCAATAACGAGAAATACCGCTATGTGAAGACCAATGCTGAGTAATACCTAGTTTTTCTAGAAAAACTCGGTATTGCTCGGTATTTGTCTTCACATAATGGTATTTCTTGTTATTGCCGAGCAAAATCGACAAATATCTAGCAATACCTAACAATATCGGGTTGTCATGGATTTAAAAAACGCACGTGCGACATACCCACTATTCGCCGGATCGAGTCCGCGATTTTGTGCCTGCTACATGACGAGTTCTCAGCGCTCGCCGAACGTAGCTCTGCGTCCGGTCACCGGACCAAATAAAAGTTCCAAAACAAGTGGCTGATTTTGAAAAAAAAAAAATGAAGCACCGGACAATCGTAATTAATTAGAAAATAGTTTCAATTTTTTTCGCACCAATTACTCATTCTACCCAACAGCTCAAAAAAATAAGAGGCAGTTGAAAGGCCAAAGGACTGGCATCCAAAGAATAAATAATTATGTGATTCTAAAATCTTATTTCAGTTTACATTCGAATAATATCTTTGAATATTATCTTTTATATTCTAAAATGCAAATGATAACTTTAATAAAGAGTTTTTATTTGATTTTACCATCTAAGATACAATTAACTATCACATCTTGAGCCTCTGGAGAAACTAAGCTTATATTTCAATAAGATTTCATTTGGGATGATTTTTAAGTATTTTTTTAAATAAATTTTTTAAATTTTTTTTGCTAAAAAGTTTTTTTTAAGAAGCTGTAAAAAAACGACCCGAATGAAACTTATATTATATATATATATATATATATATATATATATATAATTTGTCTTTCACTCAACTCATGAGCTATCTCTCAAGATGATGCATTTCCTTCCTACTCGGTCTTTTTTGAAGCCCATAATAATTTTTGAATAAAAAAGCATGATTTTAATTTTAGTAATTTAGACCTAGTTCAAATTAGCATAGAATTAAGCTTCGTTTGGGATGCTTTTTTTACTGTAAACTATTTTAAGAAGCAATGAAAAAACCGCCCAAATGAAGATTTCAACTCAATGTCATCTTTTATGTTCCATCCTGCATTGTAATTAAATCCATAACATAGAGGCAAATAATTATTTAAATGAAATTATAAATCTTAAAAATTTATATTTGTTATTTGACTTTTCCAAACTTGGCCTAAAGATGAGAGAGCCCAACTGGGATGGAAAAGTCAGCAGACACTTGTCCTTCATACTTTAAAGATGAATAATGAGTAAGGGCAACTCCAATGGAACGGCAAACACTTCTTTGCCGTTCTTGCTTTGCTCCAACCGACCGCTATTTTTGACGCCATTTGATCGCGGATGAACAGTGTGACACCAATATTGGCGTGGCACTGTTCATCTGCGTCATTTTGTTGGTCTCTACCAAACTTGTGGAAGAAAGGCGCGAACGATAATTGCGGGGAAAATAACGTTCGATTGGAGATGAATCACGATATTTTTTTATTCCACTGCATTTTGGAGTGAAAAATGAGATATTCGGTTGGAGATGCCCAAATAGTGCTGATCTTGAAGTAAAAAGATTTAGAGTTCTATTGTCCCAAACTCAACTTACTAATGAAAGAGCCCAATCAAATAGGAGAGGTCAATTAACTCATCTTTTCTCCTATGAGGAGGAATGATGCATATAATGCTGGCCTTAAGGTTGAAAGATTTTAAGTTTTATTCATCCAGATTCAACTTAAAGATGAAAGAGCCAAATTAGGTTAGAGAGGTTACATATCTTATACTTTCTACTATATAGAGGAATCGTGCCAAGAAATATTAGTCTTAATAGTGTATAATAATACTAACCTTAAGATATTAAATTTTTTTAATCTTGCTATCTAAAACCTGGCTAAAAAAAATTAACGAGCCTAATTGTATTTAAGAGGTCAATAGACCCTTCATAGTCCGGATAGATAACTAAGTAAGAATCTCTAATTTAATTTCACATACAGAGGTATATTTCATTTGAGATTGATAATGAGAGTGATCTAAGGAGAAATGAAAATGATACAAAATTTTCAATTTGTGGCTACACTAGGGGTGTCAATATTTGACACTACCCAAAAATTCGACCCGAACGCAACCCGAAAATTTCAGATTCGGGTCAACCGACACCGGGTCTGATTCGAGTTAGAGATTTCAACCTGTTTGTGAAACTGGATCGGGTTCGGGTTGACCCGGAAATCCGAAATCAACTATGTTTGACCCATTTTTAATTGATTTAGAAAGGTTTTAGAAGATTGTTTTGAACTAAGCAACTGCTATTTCCAAAAATAACCAACTATGTTGTCTGAAATGAATTAAGCTTGGTTTATTTTAAATTGATTGAAGTAAATCTTACCTTAATTCGATTTAGGTTTAAATAAATCGAATTAAATAAAAATACTTTAATAAAACATTAAAGAAGTTGGTCGGGTTTCAGTCCAGAAAACTAAACCGTTTGCAAAAATGGATCGGGTTAAAAAGTGCAAGATCAGATTCGGGTTCAACCCGAAACCCGATTTTGACAGCCCTATGCTACACAACATACGATCATTTTTAGGGGAAATAATGGATCAAAAATGGAAACATAAATCAAGTAAAAAACCTACTAAGAGAGGTAAAAATTATTTATCCTCAATCTTTAATATTGATAGAAATTGAAAATAATCATAGATTGCTAAAGTATTCAAGGAGTTAGATTAATATGATCATATCTAGCTCAGCATCTAGAAGTTATAAGTATGATAGCTAACTTAGTACAACTTGTGATTAATCGAGTGGAATGACCCTTAATATTTGGCCAAGTTTGGAGTAGATCGACTTAGAAGAATTGAGGATAAATAATTTTTGAAACATAAGAGCTGGGGCGCAAGGGATAAAGAGCCTCATAATAGAGAGCTAGGGGCACTTTCTGAGTTGTAGCAATATGAGAAAGATGGATGAGAAGAGGAGGTAGAAGAAAAAGACTTGATGAACCGAAGTTATTTCACGAACAAAAGTGCGAGTACTCAACTTCTGAAACATAAGAGCTTGGCGATCAAAGTTTGAGGTTTGGGACAGTCAAGCAACCACCAAGCAATGCACAGACTTTAGAACCAAAGCCTTATAAAATTGGTAAATCAGTTTTTTTTTTAGCGGGGGCGGGCGGACGTGCCCTCCCCCTCAATGAGGCTGACTGTCAACTACCTAACATAACCCTCTAATTTTTTTACATCCAGGAGAATTGGGACCCAACAACAACAGTATTAATGTTAATGGACTCTAAAAAAAGATAAAATTTAAAACAACATAATAGAAGTTCTTTAAAAGATAATTAATGATGCTAATAATGAATCTGAATATGGTGAAGTAGCCGCTAAGCTAAAAGAGCTTCTTTTAGATCTCAATCCATAATCTCTCTCCTATTATGGACACTTTAGAACCAATGGTTCCCTCTTAATAGTTTAACAATAAAACTTGACTAATTAGCTTCCGAAAATCAGAACAAAGACACAAAAGAAGAGTCATTTACAATCAAAAGTAAATATAAAGAATATTCGTGCACCTCATCACAAGCAATACCTGACAGGTCCTCTACTGCAGCACATGTGAAGGTGAAGAAAGTACATGCTTAGATCATTTCTTTTCTATCTGCTCATAATTTTCCTCACTTTAGAGACATTAAGAATTCCCGGCTCCAGCTCTAAAGTTCCACTGCACTATAAACCAGCACATGGCTTCTCGATCCAAAAGATATCCTTCACTTCCTTCACCATATAAACCTGATTATCTTTTTCAAGGAAAAACAATGCTCAAGATATAGGCAAATTATTTTGTTCGGATGCTGAATGCCGTCCAAAGATCAATCAGAATGCGCCACGTCACCCCTGCTCGGTACCGCAACTCGTATCGCTCGGTACCGCGCTCAGTACTATGCTTGATACTACTGACGTGACACATTCTGATTGATCTACGGATAGCGAACTGCGTTCGGCGTCCACAAAGAATAATTTCTCCAAGATATAGGCTTCATTTGGGACGATTTATTTATTGCTTATTAAAATAGAATTTTTTTAAAAAATTAAAATTTTTGTACTTAAATTTGTTTTAAGAAGCAATTAAAAAGCTGTCCCAAACGAAGTCATAATTTTTAGTTGGGATGTACTTAAAAATTAATAGATTTATTTTAAGACGAATATAAGATGAATTTTTCGTATATAATATTAATCTCAAAGTAAATCAAATGATTTCAAGGCTCATTCTGACCAAAATGGAATCAGAAAATCCTGACATTATTATTATTTTTTTACTTTTAAAATCATTTCGGATTAGCTTATATAACACACAATGTGGTTATTAGGAGGAAGTTGTCTGAGAGTCCAGTTATTTTTAAACTGAAGCGAGCTTCAGAAAGTTCAGCTTCCTACGCACCTAGAGCTGTTTGATCAAGCCTGAAAAGACCAGAGGAGAAAAAAAGAAGAAATATCTGGTGATGGGCTTGGGAGGTGTTCTTGTGAGGAAAGTGTTCTTCAAGAATCGAAATTCTGATGGACATCCCGATGTCCATGTATGTTGGGTTACCCAGATTACTACTTCCTTCTTCATAATGGATTCAATCATTTTTATTCTTGTTGTTTTATTCAATAGCAGGTTCAGGTTCTTATCATTGATGAATTATATATTATTCATTTTAAAATTCCTTCATTCCATTCAAACCAGGAGAGGCATTTTGGAGCTGATAAGAGCAAGTGGAGTTCAGTGAAACACTACTTTTGTGGAGATGAATTCAATTCAATTATTGCAGAAGATGACTTTTCTTCTCTTAGAAGTACTGAAGCAGCTGTGATGCAGTCAGTAGAGAAAGTTTCAAGAGATGAAGAAGTCTCCAGACGGATAAATCAGATCAACAAAGAAGAAGAGAAACTGGAACTGGAACTCAACTTATCAAGCCAAGAGAAAGCTGCAATAGTCATTCAGTCAGCATTCAGAGGCTTCAGGGTTGCTAACTGATTCTTTAGTGTATATGCTTAATTGAAGATTTTCATGAAGAACTGATATCTACTAGTTCATTCGTTGTTTCAGGAAAGAAAGCAGTATAAAGAGCTAAAACTCTTAGCTAAGGAAGATGATGGAGGAGAGCAAAGTGAAGCTACTGAAGCTTTATCTACCATAGTTCAGGTGGGTGATTTTCCTGAAGCATTAGAAGCTCAAGAGGCAATTGTTTCTGTTCCACAGCGCGAATTGCGCAAAGCTAGAAGTCAAATGTACAGAATTAAGGTAAGATTGAGTGAATCTTCGCCTTTTCTTCATCATTGTCATCATCATCTGACTTATATATCATAATTATTTGGGGTAAGCTTTAATAATCCACATTTATTATCTATTTCTATTGAGTGTTTCATGAGTTACAGCTAAACTATCTAAACTCTGCCTTTTCACTCAAAAAACTTGAACACAAATATTTTCTATCTTCTTATTATACATTAAAAATATTTAAGCCAATTTTCAGACACCTTAACAGCAATAAATGATTATATTATCATCTATATATTTGGAATATAGAACTAATTTTAACTTCATTCAATTTGGAATTGATTTTAAAAATTTCTATCTTTTTTATTCATAACTCCCACAATCAACCCATATTTCAAAGAAATTTCTTAAGTTTGGCAGACTTAAACTCTATTGTTGTGAACACTGACAGGAAGAATGGGATGACAGTACCTTAAGCAGCAATGTGTTGAAGCTTAGAATTCAGAACAGACTCGAAGCCATGACCCGCCGCGAGAGAGCTCTTGCCTATGCATTCTCTCAGCAGGTAAATAGTCACAACCATGAGTTCTCTCAAGCACCAAACCATTTATATTTGTCTGATATAATATAATCTATTTCCAGCTAAGAGCATGTTCTAAGAAGAAATCATCAAAATCTGACTCAAATGATCCTGGCATGGGATGGAGCTGGCTTGAGAGATGGATGGCAACAAGGCCACCAGAAAACTCTATAGTGGATAATTTCCTGAGCAGGCATTTTGATCCTATTTACAATTATAAAAGGCAAATAGTTATTAAGAAGAGGTTTGATGTTGCTTTTGAAGAGAAGGAAAGTTGCGCTTCTAATGATGTAGCAATTAGCTTCCATGGCTCTGTTGAAGCATCTCAAGTTTCAAGCACTGGTTATAGTCCTGTTAAGAACATGTTGAAGGCTACAAAAAGTGTTTCAAAGAGGAAGATATTGTCAGATTATCATCAAAAGAAAAAAGTGATCAAGGTAGGAGTGTAAAATGCACAATTCATGTTTGCAATTCAGTCAATATTCACTTTCAATTTATTCTTTATATAAACAAGTCGAGCTGGAACGAGATTTTTTAGCTCATTCATTAACTGATTTGAAGAAAAACAAAATTCAGCTCTTCTACATTCGGCTCAGTAAGAGCTTGATATACAGAAATTTCTATTTTACTAATTAAGCACCAAAAAATGTATTCTCAGAATCATGTGTAGCATATGTTTTATGTTCTATGATGTTTTTTAGATATTATATTTTAAATAGCACAAAAAAAGCTGTACAAATGAAGCTATTTTGGCTTGAAATTGAATGAGCAAAACACAAAAGCTTGTTGAAGAATTTTAGCTCATTCATATTTAACTCAGTAAGTTAACAAACCGAGCTGAACAAGACTTCAACCTGTACATTTTAGAAAAAAATGTCTAACATAGAATGTTACTTGTCTATTTTTTTAGGCAAGCAAGAGGGAATCTTCCAAGCAAATAGAGGAGAAAAAATGCAAGCAAGTCCAGCCAAAGAGCATAGGAGAGATCAAATTCAAAGATGCTTCCTAGAACCACCAATATTGTTTGATTTCTGTGTATAATACAGCACATAACTATAATTTCTGATGGTTGATTTTATGTTGGGTATTATGTGATATTTGATGATTAAAATATATTTGAGGACTTAACATAGTTGGATAATTACCTTTGATAACATTAAGGTTTTGTTTGAGACAGCTTTCTTTTTGCTTTTTAAATCAATTTTTTAGTACAAATTTTTTGAACTAGAAATTTTTGTACTATAAAGTTGTTTTAGAAAGCAGTAAGAAAGTGATCCCCAACGAAGCCTAAGTCTTCGTTCGGGATAGTTTTCTTACTGCTTTCTAAAATAATTTTTTAATAAATTTTTTTTTAAAGTAATGAAAAAATAGTGATAAAAAACTGTCACAAACGAAGCCTAATCCTCTTTGATAATATTTAGATGGAGTTCAGGATGAAAAATCAACATGAATGGTCATGATAAGCTTACAAGAACTTGATTTGAGCAGAGAGAAATATATATATATATACTATTCAACAAACATGTTGACGTCTACTCAAAGCCATTGCTACTGCATTCCAAAGATGACAAACTTGCACGACAATGCTACTGCATTCCAAAGATGACCTTTGACATGCATTGGTAGGATGCAGGAGTTTTTATTCAAGTGTGTCATTTGATATTGCAATCATAACTCATAATGACCTCTTACGTGCATTGACAATATACAGAGAGTTTCACTCTAGTGTGTCAGTTGATATTGTAATTACATTAAAAAATACCCCAATATACATTTACAATAAGCAGAGAGTTTCACTCTAGTTTGTCACTAGACACTCCAACTATATTTAAAAAATTGCATCATGCACATATAAATGCATAGTGCAAAAATGCATCCAACAACATACATATGCATGGGCCCCGGTGATCGCGTTATAAATATATACGTGACCTGAAGAAGCTGTGCGGGTTACGAAAGGAAGTTAGATTCGAACCCGATCCTTGGTCGGTAATCAGATAGAGTCGACAATGTTTAACCAACAAAAGTGTAACAACCCGTGAATTCCTTGATGACGGCCGTGTTGAATGTAAATATCAACAGGAGGAGATTAAATATTTTCAAATACAAAGTACAAATATTTTCAAAATTGTCCATACACCCCGATGATGACCGTATTGATATAAAATCTCAACTGGAGGGGACTACAAACATTCAAAAAGCCTCTCAAATGCTCATAAAATCCAAAATTCTAAAAATACTAAAATCAAATATATTAGAAAATAAAATAAATCGTTCAATACTTAAAGCAAACACCCATCCACCATCTGCAATAGTTTGTCGAGGTGGACAAATCTGAAAGCTACTTCAACTTACAAAGAGTTGATGTCTAATCGAGAATATCACTAGGATCTATTCTTAATTTATCTTTTGCCAGTAAGGATGTGGGACATGATACTTGTTCTCAAATCGGTGATTTTGCCGCCAAATGGCACCACACTGTGAATTTCGCCGCCAAATGATACCACAGGTAAACGGTTATATCGAGACCCTATGAACTGGGTGATTTGTCGCCAAATGACATATTATATTACAGTCAAAACCAGAGCCCGTATGCTCTCCAATGATACTAAATCCTTAAGATATGAATCAATATGATATAATTGATAGGGCACAAAGTCCTCTATCAGCTAAGGTGGATTCAAATTTGTCCATTTGGACAAACATCCACTCCAAGTCTACAAGGTACCCTTGGACGACGCAACCCATGACTGCTGACAAGAATCATTCTGTTAGGTTGGGTTGACTACCTCCTTTGACTAAATAGACCAGAGACAACGATGACCACGGGACAATAAAACCATGGGATCTTGATCGGACCTATCATCACCCTTCCACCATCCGCTTTAAGTGCAAGATGATGAAATCTCCAATTTTAAATATCAAACTTTCAAATACTAACCAATATTGCTACTATATGACATATACCACATATCTATGAATACGATGTTTTCATTTGACGATTAGCCTTAATCGAAAGTTCTCTCTCATGATCGAAAGAGGTAATTAAAATATTAAATATAGTGGCTTGCGCCTATAGGAAACCAGAACTTATATCATAAAGTACTTGCAAAATAAGGGCGAAATCTTTGTGTAGTGTCTTATCTCAAACCCAATCTGCCTTCTAAAAATTTACCCTGAAACCTAATATGTTAAAACTCTCTCAAAAGCAAGGTAGGCCGGGGTGCGAATTTTCAGAGCCCACAGTAGCATGGTGGGATTGAAGAAGTACAACCACAGTGTAGTATGACATCTACCATACACGCTCTTTGTAGCGTGATAGGAAGGTCCAGCTCCCCTAAATTCTCCTAAATAGGGGAGACGCCGGAAAGCTGCCGAAATTTAAATTGAATAGAGGGCCTGAACTTGAATCAAATGACAGGGGGCCTAAATGAACTGCGGTGAACATAACTTGAACAATATAACAAGGAACTGGACTCTAACATACAAATGCACAATAAATAACAGCTCTTTGCATTTTAGTAGCATTATGCTGAAGCTCCTTTAATATATAGAAGATTTTACCAGGATGTTGACTCCAAATAAAGCCATAGTTATAAGTCGCCTGTCATTAACTAAGTAGATTGAAGTTGCTAAAAGTTTTTCAGATAAATTTCTTTGAGCACAGTAAAGATAGGGAAATCCTAGTTCTCCTTTTGATTTCAAAATAGCAATTTGATGCCAAGATTTATGGAAATTACTACGAGAGAAATCTAAAAATTTAACTACCAACCTTCTTAATAATACATGTACTTAGAGATAATGATATAAATCAATATGACAGGTTTCTTCATATACAAGCTTTAATAAATTGGAGCCCTACAGCAGAAGATACTTTATGCTTCCAAATGACAAGACAGTGATTAACTAAAAAAAAAAATAAATAAATAAAAAAAGGTTGGTAGACCATAAAATCATGAAGATATTTGAGAAGGGAAAGATATTTTAGAAAGAGGTAAGAGAGTGTCCATGCTAATATACAAAAATGGAGATAAAGAGCTACCTTGTTGCACACCTTAACCATGGAGACCTTCACTAATGATGATAGAGAAGGGAGCAAATGAAATGCTGGCCCCAATTCACTTCACAAATTTACTATGTACGTAATTAATATCCTGGAAAAATAAAATATTGAACCGACTACAGTTGGTTCCACTGAATCGATTGTCAGTTTTGTCTTTTAAAACTGTCAAGGGATACGAAGGGTTATGCCATTTACATTGCAAGGGAGACGAAGGAGGTCTGCACCTTTAAGTCACAAGAAAATGGGCGACAAATAATGAGAGAGAGAGAGGTATTGGCGAGTGAATAAAGAAGGGAAAGAGGGAAACCGATGAGTTCTTTCACCCCTAAAATCTCAAGATAGAAAGAGGAGGCCAACGGTCCTATCTTTTGTTCCACTTTCTAACATCACGAAGCAAAGGAGGTAAAGGGAGAGATCAAGAGGAGAGAAAATCTACCAACTGTGCGTGAGATTGCGCATTGTTCTTTTCTTCTTCCTTGGGTCGGATAGTGGTAGCCGACGGGTATGGAGGAAGAAAAAAAAAATATTTTATTTAAAAATATTTATGATACTGAATGAGGATGTAATATATTTACACGTATAATTTGAAATGAAAAAGATTTTTGAAAAAGAAATAAAAAAAATGAAGTGCCTTAATTTGTACAATTTAGTCGTAAAAAGGACAAGATATTATATGATTACTATTTATTCGTAATATTAACGAATTTTTCAAGGTTTGTTATAATAATATCTTTAAAATTTAATTAACTACCAAAATGAATTTTAATTATTTTAAAACAAATGTACACATTGTTCTAACATTTCTTCTTTAATGCAAATTTAAAACATGGTAAAATTATATTATAATTTGCTCCTTTATATATCATCAAAAAATTATCTTGATTTGGCACGAATCTCAAGGCTAAATCAAATTGAAAACTTCTGAAATTAAAATTGGGACCATCTGAACTATGATTAAAAAAAAAAAAACTTATAGTCGAACTAAACGTTTCTAAAGTATAAACCTAACGACACCAAATTCGACTCAATCTGAGCCCGAATGTGTCCAAATTAAAGACCCGAAACACATTTGGAAAGTTTAAACCAAAAATTGGATTACCAAAAGATTTCCAAACGTGAGACACTTATAGTCGAATCAAACGGCTCAACGAGATGAATCCAACGAGCCCAATATCGCTAAATTATGATATCATTAAGACATTTAAATGCCTTGTAAACGATCCATAATCAAGGAAATCAACATCCCCGCCCATTCAAACACTCCTAAATTTTGATATCATAAATCGACTCCTCATTCCTCATGGAAAAGAGACCCAAGAAAGAAAGAGAAGGAAGAGAGTTATCTTGCCACCAAACTCCTCCTTGACCATCGTCGGACTTCCACCCAGCCGCCAATTGATGTTGAACTGCCACCCGACCACTAACTGACGTCGAATTTCCACTTGGCCACCAACGGACGTCAGACTGCTGCCCAACCGCCGACTGATGCCGAATTTCTGCTCGGTCACAGATTGACTCCAGATTTTCGTCCAACCTGCAAATTTCAACATGATGGTTGACTATTGTAATATGAGCGTCCTCAATTTCAAGGACAAAGCAGACACTTATAATCAACTCAAACACTAATGGAATCATTTCAATTGGGCGTGGCCAAGTGATTTTTCCCTTTTCCTAGATTTTCACATAAAAAAATATGGTGTTTTATTTTTTTTTTCTGTTTGTGTGCTGGATATCCATACAATACTGAGATGAAAAATTCTAACTCTATCGCCTTGTATATTCTAGCCTGCAACACTCGTATTACTTAATCATGTATCATTTAGAAGAAAGAAATGAGTGAAAAAAATAAAGAACATGTGTTATAGACTAACATTATAAGAGATGTATTTTATTTTCAATAGATATATTATTTGTATAAATGAATTTAGAGTTTTAGTGACTCTTTTAATATGTTGGAAAAAATTATTATTAGCAACATTAACGAATAAAATTTTAAGTATCCATCTAACCTATTACCTCCTTATTAATTCAAACCCTTGGTCAGGCTGGATCATGAGAGGTGTAAACGAGTTGAGTCGAGTCGAGTATTAACATTATCGAGTTGAGCTCATTAGCTCATACTAAGCTCGAACTCGTTTAATGAGTTTGAATTCGAGCTCGAGCTTGTTTAATGAGCTCGAACTCGACTTGTTTAAGAAGCTTGAACTCAGCTTATTTATGAAGCTTAGTTATGTTTTTTTTTTTTAATTTAAAATTTAATTTTTTTGGGTAAAATTTAGTTGTAATTTAGAAAAAAATATACAAATTTAACTAAAAAAATGATTTTCACTTCAAACTGTGCAAATAAATATCTAAACTAAATTTAAAATAAAATTTAAATAAATAAGAAGTAAAATTCAATATTCTTTCTTATCCAATTTTTTTTAAAAAACTGGTGATGCAAATTGAATTTGAAATAAATCTTAAATAAAACATATAAATATCAAATTAAAAAAACAAATCAAAACAAAACCAAACAAATGTTATACTATTCAAGTATATGAGTACATTTACACCATTTCATAAAATATAATTAGAAATATTATAACTTTTAACAAAGTTACATCGTAAAGCCATAGTATAATATTCACAAATTACAAAACTCTTTATATTTCATTTATGAAATATCTTATATATAGCTCTAAAATTTTTTTCTCATTAGAACCATTGAACTTTTAATCAAGCCTGAAATATACCATAATATGAACAATTTTTTGGGAATATCTCCAAGTTAGGATTCGAAAAATCAAATTACATCACAAGAATCAGCAGGATTCATAAAGCAGCATGGGCAAATTTCTTCATAGGGCTAGAAGTGACCATCCACCTGATGGTGGTTAGCAGTCAAAACAAGAAAAAAAAAACAATCAATTAGGTATAATCAACAATTTAACAGGCCCCCCCTGGGCCTGCTAATTAGAGGAGAAGGTCTGGTTATTAAAGGACAATATCATCGTCCATGATAAAGAATATATCCCACCATACCTTAAAATATAGAAAACCAATGACAACATGAGCCATAATTGAAAAAAAAAAAAAAAAAACAATCAATTAGGTATAATCAACACTTTAACAGGGAGCCCCTCACTCCCCTGATTGCCAAACGGCTTGCTAAGAGTAGAAGGTCTGGTTATTAAAGGTCAACATCATCATCCATGATAAAGAATATATCCCACCATACCTTAAAATATAGAAAACCAATGACAACATGAGCCATAATTGAAAAGCACCAGCAGCAAGGCAACATATCATATATTCAAGCTAGCGGCTATATGTTCAAATTAGTATCAACCAGGCATCATAGCTTAAAATATAGAAACCCAACGACAACATGAATCAAAATCAAATAGAGAGGGGACTCAGGGGAGAACCACATTACCTGTTGTATGTTCATCGTCAATGGCAATGAACAGAATCCCACTAGATCTTAAAAATCTTAAATCAAATGAAAACTAGAACCAGAAATGAATGGCAACAACAACAAGGCATCAGAATGACATAATAGAGGAGAATCACATAGTAGAACTAGGGAAAGCTACTGAGAGTTCATATTTTTGAATCCCATCAAAGAAAACATAATTAAAGTTGCCACCGAACAAAGAGGAGAGAGCCCCTCATTAGCAAGTCATTTTTTCTGTTGTAACATTGGAGGAAAACTTACATAAGGAAATAATTGTTGAACCTTCAGGATAAGTTTTAGCAATGGAGCTCCTTATATTTTAATATACTAGCTCTAGAGAAGGCTCAAACTTGAAACTCAATAATCTCAACTCATGAGCTCGTTAACGAGTCAAATTCAGGCTAACTCGGAGCCGACTTAGACTCACTTACACCCCTAATCATGACAATGGAATTTTTTCTCAGATCAGCTTTTGAGTAAAGAAGTTATGTTTAGATGATCAAAAGTCCTCTAAAGATAACCTTAGCATAAAAATACTTGGGAATCAAATTTGCATTAAACACTCCAAGAATTTCAAAAACAAAAATGATATTAAGCGGAAATATCCCTAAGTTTTATAAAGCCAGCTTGGGCAAGAAAAACGTGGAGAGGTGGTAAAACGTTGTGAAAACAGAAGTTAGAGATAATCAGTAGTAAAAACAGAGGTTAGCGTGAAGATGTTTGAAATAAGAATAATGGCAGAATGCTCAACAATATCAAGAAGATTGTAACTTTGGAAGAAGTCTCATCACAAGAATAAAATCAAAGGCCAACAATTGCCAAATTAAAGAAGAAGAATTTTGAACTTTATATATCTGAACCACAGTTTTTTTTCCTTCCCAAACTTCACTAAAATCCTAATCATAGAACAGAGATATAAGCATACATGGCCTGCAATAGAGAATAGACCCAACGAAGTAAATGGGGCTATAGATTGATGGAGACTATGATTTGAAAGCTGATTGTACAATGGGGAGTGTCAAATAGCTTCAACAGTGTATAATCAACGCAGCTCATTTTGATTTGTTGGCTGAGAGCTTTAGGCACTAACTAAGAGATTTAAGATTCGAAGTTTGACATCTGATGTGTGTGAGAGTATGCTTTAATGGCTCAAATGTCTAAAAAAAATTATGTAATCATAAAGAAGATGAGTCATCTACGTCTTGAGCAACCATTAGTTTATCATGGTAGTGTCTTATCTACAAACTCATCTGCCTTCCAAAATTTACCCCGGAACTTAATATTAGTTAAAACTCCCTCGCCGAATGAGAAGAAAAGCGAGCGAAAGTCGGGGCCGAATTTTCGGAGCCCACACTCTCATAAAATTTTATAAATACTACACAAATATTGGAATGAAATACTTGACTAATTCTTTTTTTTTATTATTATCAATTATTATAATGCTTTATGATATGGTTCTTAAAGACGCGTGAATTTTATATTATTTTTTTATTTTCCATCAAACCATTATGTTTAATTATAAATATTTTAAAAACTTGTGATATGATTCTTTATGGTACATCAAACATATATATATATATATATATAATGTTGCCTAGTCTTATGAAAGATGAATAAGCTGTTATTTATTTAGAAATGTGATCGACATCTAAGAAAAATCCTAAATAATACTGGACCTTGAAGGGCATGTTATGCTTCTAAACTAATGCAATTAAAATTTTATTTTATATTAGTTTTTATAAAATAAATGTTAGTTGACTCTAGCATAAAAATTCAAGATGCTTTAAAATTTTTTAAAAAGGGCTTAGAAAAATAACTTTTTAGAAGACAGAGCTTCCCCAAGTTCAGTACCTCATTCTCATAGGTCAAATTCTTTGAACTCTAAACTCATAAAGGAAAGTGTCTAAAACGAGAGTAGAGCTATGAAAAATATACATGCGACCTTGGACATTCTTTAGTTTATTTTATTAGAATGATATCTTTATATGTTATTTCATTCCTAAAATTTTATTTTTAAGTTATGAATAAAAAATATTGTATTCCTAAAAGCCTAATCAAAACCTCACACATGCATAGCAAAGCCCTACATAAGGTCCTAATTGGGTACCCATTGGGTACTCATGTTTTACTCGGACGGGCTTCGCCCACCCACACCCACCCATGTTGACTTTCTGGATTTCGTACCCACCTATACCCACCCACTTTCCATGTTTTTTGAACACAGTCTGCCACGGACTGATTGGCCTTGAGGCTTGTTGTCATTTGCTATGATGGCAAACTTTCAAGTTGCATATCAAAATTTATCATACTCGTAGCGTCGTTAAGTGCTAAACAATACTTAGTGATGATTGTAATAGTATAAGTAAGATATACAATGAATAGCAATGTAAATCGATTTATTCCTCGATGTTTAGTACCCACCCATACCCACCCACAAGGCCATGGGCGTACCCATACCCACCCATACCCATTGGGTATGGGTGGGTATGGGTATGGGTACCTAATGCAGGGCTCTGTAGTAAAGCAATGTGGTACCCATTAATGATAACAGACTTCAAAAGGCAAACTTTTCAATAAAGAGCTTATTAATTAACAAAAGAGATTCTACAACATCTATAAATTCAAACATATGAAGTCAACTTCACAGACCATAATTCTCCAAATCAGATAAAACTTATTCATAAAAATCATCAATTACTTGCTTTTTGTATTCAATTTGTCAAGTTGAAATAGACAGTGTAAGATTCATCCAGCATGCTCATCAATGGCTCAAGAATGAAGTCTCTCTTTACACCCTTCGCCCTGAAACTGATAGGGTGATACTGCCTCAACGCACTTATTAATGAAAAGCTCACAGCTTTCTTGAATGAAGCATCCTTCTGCTTACATATTAGCTGTAAATGACTTCCTTCAGAATAGTTCACACCACTATAGAGAAAGCAACCCTTGTGGATTCCAGATTCCAGACTTACAGAGCTCATATTCCCGTCCAAACCAGCAACAACACGAAACAAGAAGTTTGAGTTTGAGTTTGTCTCTAAAGAATCGGAGAAGATAATATTTCCATTGGATGATTGAGGTGTCACAAACTTTCCAGGACTGTTGAAAGACTCAATCTTCACAAATTTTCCAATAAGATTATTGCGAGATGGAGACTGGAAGAATTGTTCGTTGGAGACCTGAGGGACAAGCCTAAAGGTTGCATGGATGGCATCGTTTGTGCCAGATTTTGGATATTCTGCCATTGTAAGGATGTTTTTTGTGTTTGAGACTACAAAATATTTGTTATTGGATTCTTGAGATAAGGATATAAGCTGAGATCCGTGAGAGTCTGGAAGTGGAGTTATCCAGTCCGAGAGGTTGCTGGAATTTCGAGTGTCGACATCCCAGTCGCCATCGCTGAGTCCGGCTAGAAGGTAAGGACCAAAGAATACGGCTTGTATCGATGCGTATTCTTGCCGATCATCTGCGGTACGTGAAATGGAAGAACAGTGCGTGTGAATGTTATCGAATCAATGATTTGATGAACCTCTTAGAAGGTAACAATGTATGTAGTATTAAAGATTTTGAGTAGGAGATTGTGAGAAAGTAACCGTTATATTTAAGTGGTTATGCTACTTATAAACCTTTTATGGCCTCTGAACGCAAGTTGATTGGCAGCAGAAGCTCCAGCTTGTCATTTGGAGTCCAGTTCCTAGAGATGGAGAGGAAAGTTCCTGCAGAGAGACAACAAATTAATCAAGAATTCGCAATAAAGTGAATAATAAAAAACAAATTAAATAACATTAGAGAAGCAATCAAAAGGTCTAAGGATCACAAAACCAGCTAATAAACCTTTTTTTTTTTTTGCATTTTGGTACAATATAGCTACATGAGAGAATTCAAGAGCTTCAGTGTTTACTTTGATTTTGGCCAGCCTGATCATGGCATTGTGTGTGGAGTTCACAATCATAATTTCCAGTTCAATAAAGCGAAATGTAGCTTCGGTCTATGTACAACCCCATTCAAATATATTAAGGTCAGAAGAATTTTTAACAACCTACTTCAATGGTATAATCAGTCTTCAACGAAATGACTCGATTGCAAAAGGTGCAGCCTTATCAAATGCGACTAGAGCTTAATACTTCCAGTTTGTATCATTATTTTCTCGAAATCTTGAGAAAAGTTGATGGGGACATCAGATTTCGACACGTGTACCATCGCCGGAGACGGAAATTCAATTCCTGGTTTTACATCAAAAGTTATTTCCAATATGATTCAACTGTCATCATGAATAGTGTAGATATTCCAAATTTGTTTGCAAATCAAATCTACATTACTATGTTTCATATATAACCTTTTAAAAGTAGCAGATTTTCTAATTTCAATCTTTAACCGCTACCATGTTTAAAAGGAGAAATGAATCTACTACCATAATCACTCTTTCATGAGCCATGCAAAGCAAGATTTGCATTTTAGTTGAAGTCAACGTAGGATCCGAAAATTTGAGCCCTGACCTCAAGGAAATTTTCAGGTAAAATTCTTAGAAGATAGATTAGGTTTGAAATAAGACATTAATAAGAGATTTCATTCTTATTTTGTGAGGACTTATGATCTGGCTCATTAAGAGTTTTTTTTTTCTCATAAAATTTTATGACATGGTTCCAAATTTTTCATTGACACAAGCCCTACGATTAATCACCCCTATCAATAAAGAGCGAGAACTTTCAATTATGAAAACTTGTTAGATAAGCTTTAAATATCAAATATATAATAACAACAAATTAAGTAATGGAGGTATATGAAATCTATCACCTTACATTTAAAGTAGAAGATGGGAGCTATCATCTCAGGTTATAATTATTTCTTGTCTATTTAGTTAGAGGAAGTAGTTAACCTTACCCTTGGCTGAAGGATCTTTTGTGAGCAGCTATAGGTTGCTTCGTCTAAGGGTATCTCACAGACCTAAGGTCAATGTTTATCTAAGGTGAAAATTTTGAGTCAATATTAGCTAACAAAGGGTTTTATGCCCAATCAAGCATATACTATAATTTATTACTCAAGGGTTTTTAGTTATTGGAGAAGTAGTAGGCTTTAGATGTGATAACAATTTAATGGTATTATTTAGTGACAAGACCACTAGATTAGAGGTCCCCGGTCATAAACCATTTATTTGTAGTGTCATTTGGAGGCAAAATCATCGGTTAGAAGACGCATATCATGTCATTATTAGTCAAAAATTATCTGAGAGTCATAGCAATATGCTCAATAAGACATTTGGGGTTTGTGAGCTAAAATTATTCTCAAATTTATCAACCTCAACAAACATTTATGGAAGGTTGATCAATTGTTCTTTAAGTTTTAAAGTGGTAGATTACTTTTATTATAATTTTTTTAATGTTTTTATAACTAGTCTAGATTTTTATAATTATTTTGCTTTTTTTTTGTATTTTTATCTAGTGATAATCTCAAGCTAATTTACATAGGGATTTAGGGGCATTTTTTATAGATAGGTCAACCTTAAATTCTAAAGGCTTTCATTTGAGTAGATCTAAAACTGAATATATGGAGTGTAATTTTAGTAATAAAAGTTCTAGTGGGGAGATTGTGGCTTTGGGTGATCAAGTTATTAATAAGAGCACATATTTTTGATATTTTGGGTCTATCGTTTAAAATGATGGTGAAATAGATGGGCATATTATTAGTAGAATTCAAGTCGGATAGTTGAAGTGGAGGAATGCATCGAGCTTGTTGTGTGATAGAAAATTCCCCTCAAACTTAAGGGAAAATTCTATAAGATGATGGATAGACCTGCAATGCTTTAAGGTGCAGAATGTTGTCCATTGAAAGAGAAGCATAATATTTAGTTAAGTGTTGCAGAGATGATGATGTTCAGGTGGATGAGTGGCTTTACTCTTAAAGATAGGAAACAAATTGAGCATATATGTGAAAAGGATGGAGTAGCTCCAGTTGAAGATAAGATTAGAGAGAGTTGTCTTAGATGGTTTGGTCACATAAAACGACGGCCCTCCAATGACCCGATTAGAAAAGTGGATGTATTATATTTGACTTATGTTAAGAAAGGTAAAGGTAGACCTAAAAAGACTTGGTTAGAAAATATTAGAAATGACATTTTTTATTAGATTTAAATGAGACTTTAACTCTTAACAGGACATAATGGAGAAAAAAGAATTCACGTAATCGACCTCATATAGTGGGATAAAGTTTTGATGATGATGATGATGATGATGATGATGTTGTTGTTGTTGATGTCATTTTATTTCAATTGTACTCTTCTTATTTATCGAGTTATTAGTGTTATGTTCCATGTGGGTTTGTTCAAACCAAATTTCAGTAGCCTCCAAACATCCCTCTTATATAGGAGGCATCATCGGGAGTGCTAAGCCTTCCCACTACACTTAGAGTCGGGTGGTGGTTGAAGCTGGAGGTGGCCAGTAGTTCTGGCCAACGAGGGAAGCCAGTGGCAAATCTAGCCATAGGAATTGAAAGGAGGAAAGGGCTTCGGGAGGGGAAGTGTGGACCGAACAAAGAGGGAGAGTGAGGGAGCCAAGAGAGAGCGTGAGGGAGGGAGGGGTCAGGTGTGAATGAGAGCTATTAGGGCCGACTAAGTTTGAGTCAGGATGAGGTTTGAGCGAATGAGGGATATATATGTTTGGGGGATTAGTTTTTTTTTTTTTTTTGTATTTTCTTTAACATGAAATTGATATTATATTTATTTCACCTCCACTTTTTTAACATGAAATTGATATTAATTTTATTTCATTTCCACTTTTTTAATATGAAATTGATATTAATTTTATTTCATGTTTTAAGAAAATTATTAATAAAAAGTGCCTCAATGTACTCGCCAAATCATCGCCGTTACACATCAATATCGTTTGATCCATGCGCGTGAAGCTTTGATTTTCGCTTATCGATGACCACGACCAATATAGGTGTTGATCTTAGCTATTTCAGTTGCCCCAAATGTCTCAGCATTATTCGTTTTTCTAACTGAAGCCATTTACGATTTGGATTTATGGTTGACAAGCATCGAGTGTGTTTCATGCGATGTCGATCTCTTTCCCTTTTGAAATTCACCATGCATAGTCGACTAAACCCCAACACTAACATTGAGGTTAACAACGCAGACTATTATTTTTGCTATTATTCAATCAAGTCGAATGAAGTATGTGTCTTTGATAATTTTGATGGTCTAAATGCATCGAGGCATTATGTTTTTCTTATGAGCATAGCTTGAGTGATTTGGAACACAATCGAAGCTAACTAATTATTAATTATTAATTTTCATTATCAATGCTAACTAGCCATTATAAATAATACAATGAGAATTTAAGCTAATTATCAAATAATCTTTTTTTGGGAGAATATTATCAATTAATCTAAGTAATTAATTATTCATTAATTATATTATATTTTAATTAATTTTAATAAACCTAATTAAACTAAATTAATTTGTTCATATGTTCTTTGGCAATAGTTGTCATCACAGCCTTCGTACAGCTGCACGTATGCTTGGGTTGCTTTTCCTCTTCCCCGTTTGTTCGTCGCTATTCAACATCGCTTGCTTCGCGTGAGAGAGTTTTGAATGACATTCCTTCCTATCGGATCCAAAGTCACACCTCCTCGCCATTCTTCTGTTGAATCGGAAGGAACGACGATGACAAGCGCTTGCTCGTTGTGAAGGTAGCCATCTTTCTTCCTTTCGCATGCTTCTTTGGTCAAATCCCGTAAATCTGCCAAACTCCCTGTTTTAGTAAATCCAGGATTTACGCAAAAAGAGGAAAGCGGAGGATTTAACTCACTGTGAGATTTAATAGTTCCCTAAATCCTATTTGGTAGGATTTAACATAAATCCTGCTCAAATCCAACATAAATCATGCATCCAAATAGCCTCTTCCTTTTATTTTTATTAAATTCTAAATGATTTGATCATGCCATGCACAAATCATAAGTTTACCGGTTCATTTTTTTATTGTTGTAAATAGCCAAATTTTGGGGCTTACACATAATTTTCTCTTATATTTTATATTATGACTACTACAATTACCTGGATCTGTTAGAGGCAACTCTTGAGAATTTAGTGTTGCTTTCCCACCGTTTCTTGCTGTCCAAAATGGTATCCGAAAGTTCAAAGTTGAAGTTTGACTGCTTGCCTACAAACATTGGGCATATGTCACAGGTCAATGACATTTCTTTAATTTATAAGTTAATTCAAGAACAAGAGCTGATGAGAAAAAAGAAAAAAATAAGAAATTCTTTGTAATAAAATAAGTAATACATTTAGTACGAATTTTCTAGGCAAGATCATGATAATAACAGAGAAAAAAAAACTTAAATTTAAATATACAACAAAATAAATGTAGTTCTGCAATTTGCAGTTTTTCTATGCAATTTTCAAGGCATTTATTAGGTATCTGGAAACAATATGAATTGAAATATAAATGTTCCAAGTACCTCTGTCGAAGAAATGTCAAAAGAGATCTGAAGAAGTGGTTCAATGGAGCTAAATGGCTTTATTTTCTGAATCACTGTGATGCCTCCAGACTTCCATTTAAAGGAACTTGGTATAAATTGTGTTATGTACAGCCCATGAGAACTTCCCAGCTCCTCAAAATAGATAGAATCACCCAATTTTGAAAATGATTCAATTCCTGTAGAATAAAAGATTGAACGTAATATGATAAGACAGAGGCTGAAGCACAACAGAGAAAAACATCATCCAAGCATTAAAATTTCGCTGAAACCTTTCTACAAATTTGAACTCCTAAATTTGTGGCTAAAAGAGGAAGGGATCAAAGTAAAAAAAAAAAAGGTACTTGACAATCCTAAGATCTGAACCAAGGTTTGATCTTAGCTAACATTGTTGCAAACTTGTTCGTATTCACAATGAGAGACTTTTAGACCTCACTCGACACCTAATGGAGTTAAGAATGATTGATTTTAAAGCATTTTGTGAAATCAGACATAACACAACACCCAATGGAATTGCAGAAGATCGAGAACAAAATGAGAAGAAATTTTTGAAATAAAATGAACGATCAAAAACACAAAATAGAATACAAATAATATAAGATAAGCAGCCAAATGAAACCTGTCCCGTAACAACACCAAAATGAATCAAACGGTTTTCCCCATCCATGATAACTCTTTGCTTTTGACTGTCCACGTCCCTGTGGAAGCATGTAAATCATAACCCCAGGCTCTCTTCCCCTTTGAATTCCCAGCACACCGTTTGTCAGGGCTTTCTCATAATAATCAGCATAAGACATTTCTTTCGTCCACCTAAATAAGTTTCGAGCCACCTGAAACAAATAGGCAGGATGTACTCAAGAGGATGAAGCTTCAAGCAGAAGATCTACATTAGACCAAGGTAAATAGCTAGAAAGCTATTGTAAGGAAATTATCAATTGAAGTTATATATGCTCTACATTTGATGAAACATACTAGGCTCTTTTAAACAAATAAGATCTACACCTGAATCCTTATTCTGAACGATTTTCTAGACGACAAAGAGAGAATTAATAGGGACAAGACAAAACCTTAAGCATGTTGTAAGTGGTACAAGATTCTTCATCTTCTGTGCTGAGAGTATCTGCCAAATGCTTGGGATCAGACCTGAATATAATTGAAGGTAATGCACTAATTACAACAAGGAAGATATCAACCCATTGAAATTTAAATCTATCTGAAAGGGATAAAACGAGAGAGTAAAAGGTTATCAAAACAAAAAAATCGATGAAAAACTAGCATCATTTTTGCCGAACAAAAGGAACAAATAAAAAGAAAGAAAGTTCATAATTTTACCAAAACTCGCTAACAGAGGTTCCTCCAGTAGCATAGCTGTGAGAAGAATTAACAATATCCATAAAATATGCCGCGATATCCTGACATATCAAAATAATTGCATCTGTAACTTTAGCGGAAGTTGGTAAAAATGATAAACCAAATAACCGTATGATATTTATTCAGTCCAATGTGATGATATTTCACCTAAAAGAGACATCTGAAACCTCACCTTCTTTACAGAGGAAAAACAGCACCGGATGCATAAATGATGATTTATACTGCCAGAAGTTATGAAAAGAGGAAAATGGCATGCATGCTACAGTACAGAACATTTCATTATATTAAGATTGCTTCAGCCTCCTTCAAAAACCAACACTGGTATCATACATGATTGCATCTCAGATTCCATCATAGGGAAAAAGATATCCAAGAAAATAACACGCAAAGGAGACCTACATACTTCATTTAGTTCAGTTGATCATCCAATTCATAATATGGAAAACAATAGCAAAATCAGAGCAAAGAAGTACTTTATCACAAGAGTGGATAATCATGGTAAAGATCTTGCATGGCCTTAGCATTGAAGAAACAAAACGATCTATATACAAAGAATGGTGCTACATTAATTCATGGTAAAACATGTAGAATCTTCAACTGCAAATGGCTATTGATGTAATAAACTCATTCTTAATGAGTACAAGGACATAAATGACAGGCAAAAAGTGCTCAGGGAATTATTAAATAATTCTATATAAATTGATGCAAGATGCATGTCCACTTAATCTCATGTTCGGGCTAGGAATTGGCTCGATTTCGAAAATCAGATTAATTTTAGCTCAAAATGAACTTGAATTAAGCTTTAACCTGAATCAAATTGAGATAGCTTGAGATCGGATTGAAATATGTGTTCTTGCATAAAGGCATATGCATACATATTTGTTGATGAATTTAGATTTTGAATTATAGTATATATGCATCTAAGTAGTGTATATATATATATATGTATATATATGTATATATATATATATATATACATATATATATATATACCATAAATAAATACTTTATGCAAAAATAAAGACAGTATCAGACCATCGGATCAGCAAAATAAAGAAAAAAAAAATAGAAGAGATCCCTATTGCAGATAATTTGCCCGGTTCAAGAATCCTCCTGAAGGTAACTTATACCGTGGTGCCCTAAAACATCAAAATGTTTAAAGCATATATCCATAATGAAAGTAGTCCGTCTCCAAAAATTGTGCTTTATAAAAAATTATAATCAGAAATGGCCAAAAAATTGTAGCATACAAGTCTTTTGAAAAAGAAAGTTAGAACCATCATCTTTCACAAAACATACCAAAATAAAATAAAATCCGAAAAATGAAAACCCAAGCTGACCATTTATTTCTTACAGAAATGAAATCATAGATATTAGAGTATCATTTGAGAAGCAATTCATATATCCATTTTATATCTTACCTTATATAATGGATCACCAGCAAACTCATACCGTTTCTGTGCACCCACAACAATTGGAATATGCGTATTGGCATGAAAGCCAGAAAGGCCATCAGTCTGCAACCAACCAAAATAGCAATCATGTTAGACTAGCATGAGGGTTGATGAACAGCCATCTCCATAAGCCAAAATGACTTAATGTTATCTTTATTTACACTTGCTTCTTAAATATCAATGCAAAACTAATACAAACTATCTAATCATGAAAATTGGTCTCAAATAGTCCCTCAAGTAGAAATTGATAATCAATGTAATCCCAATATATATATTTCTCTAATTTAGTCTCTCGACAATATAAAATTAGTCTCAAATAGTCCCTCAAGTAGAAATTGAGGATATTGGGATACAATATTTATCCCAATTTAATGACTAAATTAAGAAATAATGCTTTTGTAAGTGATTACAGCATAACTTTTGTGATTGATAAAGCCTTTTGATATAACATATGATTCAACAATATTCTCAGCTTTGATGAGATTAAATTATTGTTATTTGAAAATACAAAATCTGCCAACATTTCAAGATAATACTTATCCAAGTGTCATAATTTGTATATGAAACTAGTCAACTTATCATTAATAGGAAAAAAATGATCAAAATAGTCCATTGACTCTTTATGAAAGACCAAAATGATTCCCAACTATATTAAAGGATCACATTACAATGGTTATACATAGTAAGCTAAGAAGTCTTTAGAAAACAAGAAGGTAACCTAATCCTAATGGTTTATTTTGCATCATTCTCCCCTTGCGTCGAAAGTGCTCGACTCTGACGAGGCGCACCATTGGGAGGGAGATAGGTGTAGGAACATGAGCAACCCTCCTGGGTCGACAATCTTACTCCCTGACATCATCGTACTCTCTGTATGAGATCTTGGTGCTTTAAGATCCTTGTTTTGTAGCATTTCAGCAGCCTTTTCTAATAGCCGTGGTTGACAGCAATCTCTATAATACTCAATGTACCTCTTCAACCAATTTCCTCCGATTGAATCATTTGTCTTGGCTGCTGCGGCACCACTGGCATGAACTTTTATAATATGACTAGCAATTTGCTTGTCTTGCTCATACAATCTAACATCTTTAACAATGGAGATCAGATCAAATCTCAAAAGGATTGTAGTTTGCAAATTAATGTTGTCCTGTGCAGTCTTCATATCATTATATCGCCCATATTGAGGTTTAGCAGATGCGAGTACAGATGTTCTAGAACACAGCACTGTGGTAATTCCTTCTTTTTGTAAAGGATATAGTTTGCTGCTCCATGGCTTCATATAGCAACCCCGTCTTCAGGCCTCATTTTATCAAATTCATTAATGCAGACAATCCCACCATCTTCAGGCCTCATTTTCAGCCCTCCTTTCCAGATAGGAATTCTCTAGAACTACTTTCACGAATAACATAAACAACGAGACCAGCCGCAGATTAACCTTTTCCTGTAAGTATAGACGGCAATTGGAACAGTTTTCTCCACAAATTTTGAGAAACTGTGATTTTGCAGTTGATGGGTCACCCAATAGTAGGGCATGTGTATCTCCTCTTAGTCTCACCCCATCTGACAGCCTCTTCTTTGAGCCTCCAAAAAACAGAGAAGCAATGGCTTTCTTGACATTAATGTAATTCTTCCAGAATTGCTGATCTTTAGGAATCCTGGTGCTTCCACCAACAAGAATGATTTCATCTATTTGATGCTTCTCAAGAATAAAATTCACCAAATGTTCCTCCAGATTCTCAACAGCCATCCCACAGAAACTTCCAAGCGGGAACCATTCTAATAAACCAGTAGAACCAAGTGTGTTCCATGAGACTAAATTCTTTTCAGGCAATTTATCAAACACCATAATTGCCTCGACAACCAAACAACATTTACCATACATTGACATCAAAAAATTATTAACAAAGATATCAGACGCCAAACCCATCTTTAAAATCATCCAATGAACTACCTGTCCCATTTCTATATCTGAAACTCCGGCACAAGACTTTAAGACTTAAGGCTAAGTAAAATTATCTAGCTCAAGCTCCGTGGTTAACAACTGGCAACACACTGCTATAGCATCATTCTAGAGGTCGTTCTTTGAATACCCACTGATGATGGCACTCCATTGAAACAGATTCCTCACTTCCAAATCTTCGAAGGCATGTCGAGGGTTAGAGGGCCGTTGCATCAGAAGTACATGGGGAGGAGCCGAGCGGTTAGAACAGGATTGCTCATGAGTTCTTTGGATGATTAAATGAGGTCATGGACCTTTTGACCGACATTGAGATCATCATGATAACCGCAGGCCTCATCTTCTTCTCATGTAGCATGTCCGAGCCAATCCGACAGGAGATGACATCTCCTGTGCGTGTGTCTAAGGATCAAATCAAGTGAAAGGAACAGAGGTTAGGCTCCTCGTGTAAGCTTGCTAGGAATCTTCGTGCATGTTGGGTAGGAGAGAAGTTGCTTGTTGGAGCTGATGAGAAGAGAGAAGGTGAAAATGCAGGCGAATCTGGCGAAAGTAGGGTCAGGCACGCTGGAGGTGGGCGGATTTGGGATTGGAGTTGGTTCGTAAGTGCGGGAGGCGGAGGTCCGACGAATTGCTCTCCCTTGACGAATTCGAGATCAACCGCAGAAGGATAGCAATGGATCAGGGTCAGTTACACAGGTACGCTCGAGGAGCAGACAATCGAAGGCGCTAGCATGGTTGCGGGAGTGAGCGTGATGCTGGCACCTCACACATTTGGAAGGCGGGAGTTGGGTTGGATCAAGGGAGAAAGCTGAGGCAGAATCGACATTGAACTGTGGGAGAGCAGTTTGGATGCCAGCCGTGGAATTGTGTATCGTGTGTTGTAGCAGCGGCGTGATGATCATAATCGATTTAGGCGAAGTCACGGTCGTCTGTGGAAGCGGAGGAGCTCGATTTAATGGGAGGTGTCACACTACGGAGATGAATGCGGAAGCGGCAAGTCGTGCTGGAGCGAAGGCGAGTCGCGCAAGACGGCCGTGGAATGGTTGCAGACTGCGTGGTTGGGTAGATGATCTCGCCATTGGAGTGGAAGTTGGAGCGAAGGATAGTCGTGGATGATGGTGGATTGATTCTAGATCTGTTTGTGATCGTGTGAAGCATTGGCGAAGGGTCATTGGTCGGGCAGCAGATCTCGCCATTGTAGTGGAAGTTGGAGTGGAGGATAGTTGTCGCTCACCCATCTTCTTCAGCATCGATTGTCGTCGACCACCCATCTTATTCGGCATCGATCGTCATTGATCACCCATCTTATTCGGCATCGATCATCATCGATCGCCCATCTTCTTCGACTTTGATCATGATCGACAACCCATCTTCTTTGGCAGTCCATCATGTTTCACAATCTCCAGTCTCTTATACCAATTGATGTAGTGGATCATCGGAAGAATCGGATATGCTACAAGGAATTCTCAATCCATGGAACAAACACAATCATTAAGCTTCAAAGAATATATAATTCATTAATGATCTCCTTTTCTCATTACAATGGCTATATAGAATAAGCTAAATTTCTAGAAAATAAGAAGGTAAGCTAGTTCTAAGAGTTTATTTAGTTAATGATGCATCACATCATTTATAGTGCCTTATCATTTTACCTTGATTCTTATGCTCTATGATCATCACCTAGTGGCTTGACTGAGATAGCTAAATAACAACAAGCGGAGTTTATCAAAACTCCATAGTATATTCTTATTTAGTACTAGCTCAATTTGTGTTCACTTCTTCTAAAGATCTTTTATATATTTAATTGGGTAGAAATTTATGTACATCAGTTATTTGATCATCCCAAAGTCAACTCTTGATGGTCATTAATCTTCAGATAGGCATTCCACCATGTTACGGCATGATAGTTTAACTTTAGTCGGGTAAAGGCAATCTTATCATCGGTGATATACCCGAAATAAGTCTCCAACTAGCCAATCCATGCATCAAGCTTCTCAACATACCATCTCATCACAAGCATAATCTCCCTTTTGGCTTAGCCGCATTCTCATTTCCTCATTTCCAACTGGATGTCAATATTTGACACGACCCGAAAATCCGACTCGAACCCAATCCAAAAATTTCGGGTTAGGGTCAACCCGGACCCGAAACAGGTTGAGTTCAGGTTCAACAATTCATCCCGTTTCAAAAATTGGGTCAAGTTCGAAATTGACCCATTTTGACCCGAAAACCCGTTTTTGAACCAGAAACCCGAGATTGACCCATTTTGACCAAAAAAGTAGAGATTGACCTATTTTTTTTTACCCGAAAACTAGCAATTTTTTCACGGTCCCGGGTCATTCGGGTCATGTCGAGTTGACCCGGACCTGAAGTGGATCGGGTTCAAGTTGACCCGAATAGTGCTAGATCAGTTTCGGGTTCAACCCAAACACGACCCGTGACCCGAATCTCCAACCATGTTTCTATTTGGCACGGCAAGATGAATATGACTTGGCCCACTATTCACAGCAAAGGTTGTTTGCATCCTCATCTAATCCATTATGGTGGTCATCTGCTCCATCAATCCAGCTTACTTGGTTGGCTATTTAATGTACAATCGTTGTTAGCCATCAATTGACATTCTTCCTCTCTTTTTTTTTTTTGTCGCTTTCTTAAATTATGGTGCATCTCACAAATAAGAAACAGTTCTCCCTTGTCTTTATATGTCTTATTTATGTATACCATACACCAAAGATTGAAGCCCTGATACCAAATTGATCGATAGACAAATCTTTTTTCTTGTTTTCATCATTGTTTTCATTGAAAAAAGTCAATATATATTGTCCTTTCTTGAATGCGGCAACACTGGTTGCAACATGAATAGGGGAGGTAGCAATCAACAACAGTGAGCAGCGAAGTGGCACCAACCAGCAGCATGAAAAGCAATAGTTGCGACAAGCAGTGTAACAACCACAATGCAGCACTGTTATGCAAGGCAATCAACAACATTGGGGAGTACATGCAATCCAACCATGCCTACTTTAGCACCAAACTAAGTACTCTATATGTTGTGGATATAAATTAGATAGGAGGGGAAAGAAAAAAGGAAATAAATTTTGGAGAATTATGATTAACTTAATTCAAGAACATCATTTCTATTTATAGGAAACTATAATGGAGATTAATCTAATCCAATTCCTGAACAAACTCAACAAAAAAAGTAAGCAACATCTACAAATAAGTACGTAGATAAGTTTGAATTATACTATAATTCATGTAGGAATTATCAAAGCATGAATGTACTAATTTATCCAAACAAATTTAAGGAAGTTAAATCCATCCTTGTAAATTTGATCAAATCCGCTAACTTTTGAAGCCTCGATTTCCCTCAGACAATATCTGACGCTCTGATGGACTCCTGGTGACATTTTCTTCAATCTTAATATTTAAAATTCAACATTGTTAGCAATTTTCCCAGCTATAAATCAGGCCGTTAAAACTTCAACGAACACAATCTCTTTGATATTTATACAATTTAATATACAAATTATGATCATAGATCATATGTATATTATTAAGCGCCTACTATATATGACCCCATATTATATATAGACACATGTATATAATATTATATTTACATGTGTGCAATGCTTGATAAGGTCGTTACCATAGTGAAATGTAAACTTAAGACATGCTATTACCCAGATATTAACTTATAACTAAAATCAATTAATATACTTCAATCAATATTTCAAAGTGCGACAAACACATATCAAAGAGCATTATGATGTTGACTATAAAAATATTACTTTTCTTTGCTAATGTATCTCAACATTCAAAGTTATCAATAAAGTTATAGACAGAGCACTCAGTTAAATAATACTTTGAATAGTCTTTGATGGTAATCATCTTGTAAGGTATTATGCCATGAATAAAACCTACAGCCCAAAGCATAAGACATGAAATTCAATGCAAGAATCTTAACAACAAAGATGCCTCAAAGTACATTGTTTTTAAGGAAATGAAGGATGCCACATTTTCTATAGAAACACCTCAATAAAAAATTAGATTCTGAGCACAATTGTTTGTATCCAAGCATAATCAACAAAACGTGTACCTCAATAATGTCAAACATAGATCTATTTGATTTCATATCCTCATGACCAAGCTTTCTTTTTATCCAGCATGCAACTAGATAAAAGCTCAATTAAAAATTATAAATTGTTCATTAGCCGAATTGTTGATAATTTTTTTAACGGCTCCTACAAAAAAATCATTAATCAGTTTGGACCAGATCAATTGCTGTGCTTGAGTACATTTTTAGAGTATAGGAACCAAACATTTGTTTTATGAAGAAGTATGTGAAATTTAAATAAGATGTTAAAGGTTATTTAATTGCAACAAAAAACATCTTCATCTATCTATAGCAAGATCAGTCAAGCTTGGACTAAGATGAAATCAGAATAGCAACATACATAAATAAAAAATAAGGTTTTTACAACTTGATGAATGTTCAAGCTCAACTTGTGCTCAATCAAACTTAACCAAACCAAACTTGATTAGGGAAACACTCAGCTTCCCCTAATTGCTAGAATCAACATGTCATCACGCAGTTATAAACAGTGATAAAATGATAAGAGAGATGGTCACCTGCAATGCAAGTAGCCCAAGAAAGCAAGGCTTGTCAAAAAGATGCGCAAGTGCTAAATGTTTCTGATCACCCTGCAAAGCATAATACATAATACAATATCTTCAAAGTTTATGTAAATTTTCACCGATAAAGCAAAGATAGGCAGTAATTTTTGAAAAGTTCCATCTGCCATGCATATAAAGTTGAATAGTAACCGATAAAATTGACTAAGCTATAGGTATGTTCTCCATAACTCAATGCATAGATAAAAAAACACCACAAATGGCAATTCTTTCTCATATGGATGAACTTTCTGAAGATGAAAAATGATGCAAAGCCTGGCCATACTTGCATACTGATCATAATTCATAATTCATACAACGGCTACAATACCATGTGTACAAAAATAATTTAATTATAGAGATCCCATATATTCACAGTTTTGTCATATTTCTAGATGAAATGAATATGGTACAACAACAACAAGCCTTTATTTTACTATGTGGGTCGCCAATAAAATGAATATGAGAGAAGCAAAATAAAAAAAAGTATTCAAAAATAGGAATTTAAAGGCTATGTCTCTGTTGACCCATATGCTAAAAAATACAAAAAATAGGCGAAATTGGCAACTCAACTAAAGGTCGACGGGCGTGACATGCCACCTGAAAGGTCAAACGACCTCCGATCGCCAAACAGACTACGCCGTTACGATTAAAGCGTCGAATTTATCTAAGAGGGACCACCTCCCAATCAAATCAGGCGAAAACAGTCAAAATTGATGACCGACACCCGAAAAGAACGCGGGACATTGTTCAAACGACATCCAATCGTGATGTCAACGATACCCAATAATGACTATAATATTTCCTAATGGACCCCATGCGAGAAAATCGACATCCAAATCGAGGCTGCAGTACGAAAATCGAGACAAATTTGTTATGTAATTTTATTATAATAATAATAATAATATTATTATTATTATTATTATTATTATTATTAATTATAGAATTAAAATAAAAAATGATTAAAATTGCGCATCTCATACCTGTTCGGCGCCGACAGCATTTGTGTCTTTCCTCCTGCAATTCGTTCGCCTTGATCTTAGTCTACTTTTATTGATAAAATGAAGGAGAAACGAAGTCCTTCGTTCCTCTTCGACACACTCGTTTTCCACAAGACTCAACTTCCTCCAAGCCATTCGAACAGCCCTTTACTATGCCGACATCCAAGCTCTCCTGTTCGAATTCCCTCAGTCGAATCCATTGCATCAGCTCACAATCTCCGTTCCCGGCAGAACCCCACGTCAACTTTGATCTCCAGTTGATCCTTCCTCAAGCCAAAAACCGCTAGTCTCTCCGATCCTACTTATCGCAAGTAGCTACAGGCCATCGTCCGTCCAATCTTCCATGCTCGCACGAGGATCCCGATCACTATTGTAGTTGCAGGAGGCCAGATTCCACAATCCCGACCCCAGCCTCCTGATTTCACCTCTAGCAACTCAAGCGTCCCTTCTCCCAGTAGCAGAACTCACGGCCAAGCTCTCCAGCCACCTGACCTGTCAAATCTCCAAATCCACAGCCAGACAAGACACATAGTCCCCCAAACCACTATTGAATCCTTCTATTGTGCTAAGCCAATCTCACTTCAACTAGCAACCGAGCCTCCCTCACCAAAGCTCCTCTCACATGAAGACCTCGATAGCCCACTCTAGCTCTCTCACGTGCACAGCAGGTCATTCAACTTCCCCGGACTTTCTCCCCTGTTCGAACCTCTCCCTCAGTCGCTCCCTGTCTGGACTCCACAGCCGACGCACGACGAATCCCCCCTACATTCCCTTGCTTAGCCACACACAGCAATCAATCCAACCAGTCGAATTAGTGTCGGCCGAGCTCAAGCCCTTGTCTGATCTACTTCCTATGCTAATCCAACCACTTGTAGCAAGCTCGAACCTTCTCTTTCCTCTCCGTGGGGCCGAAATCCTCCTTCAACCATCTAAGCACTTCAATTTCTCATTTTATTTCTTCTTCACAACTCTTCCAACTCCTACCTCAAGCAACCTCACAAAGCCATAAGCAATCTAGCCATTTATTATTCCCCACTCATTGTACTGCAACTCTTCATACACTCACTACAAACACTTGTTTCCACCAGTCCGCACCAATAATCCTTTTTCCCTCGTTTTACTATTATTATTATTAATATTAATTGTTATTATTATTATTAAAAAAAAAAGACATAAAAAAGAAGAAAGGGAAAAGGAAAAGAAAAAAAAGAGAGAATTCTTGTACACGATCATCACCACTGTCGTCCCAACATCAAAATCGTTATCGTCGTTCTCACAAAGGTATAAATGACCTCTCAAAACCATAAAACTCCAAATACGATTTTTCGGCGCTTGCGGAGCGTCGACGAACCACATATACACGCTTTTCTTAATGTTGTGGGAGGAAGCTCAGTGCAACGCTTGCGACAAGGAGGGTAGGCCTCGTACATGCTTTTCTTAGAGTGTCAGGGACACTCCTAAGTACCCGTGCACATGCTTCTATGCCTGCAGGAAAAACTATAAATTTTTAACACATGTACATTAAAGGCCCATGCACACTTTTCATAGCGTGGTGGGACTGAAAACCACAACCACG